CTTGAGGATTGTAAGGCAGACCATGAGTAAGTTGCACTCCCATGGTAGAACAAAAGGATGTAAATTGTCTGCCAGTATAAGCAGGTCCATTATCAGTCTTAAGGGATGCAGGAGCACCCCATGCTGCCCATGCCTCTAGGCAATGAGTAATAACATTACGTGCCTTCTCTCCCGACAAAGCAGAGGCATGAATAACTCCAGAGCACGTATCAACAGAAACATGTACATACTTGAGGTTACCAAAGTCAGGTATGTGCGTCACATCCATTTGCCAGACAACCAATGGCTTCAATCCCCGTGGGTTCACCCCATAAGTAGGGGGATGAAGAAATGTGACACAATGGGGACATTGTAATACTATCTGACGAGCATCCGCTCTTGAAATGGAAAAACACCTGCGCAGCGTTAAAGCATTAACATGGAAATTCTGGTGAAATAATTTAGCCCCCTCTAAGGAGGAAGCCAAGCATATCAATTGGCCTCTAGTGGCTGAGTCTGCACAGGCATTACCCTGTGATAACGGACCAGGAAGAGAGGTGTGAGCCCGTATGTGCATTGGATAAAAAGGAGCAGTGCGGCTACAGATAAGTTGTTGAAGCTGATTAAAGTAAGCAGATACATTATGGGCATTACTAATAGCTCCCACGGCCTCCAGGACTTTGAGTGCTTGTACCACATAAATGGAGTCCGAGATAAGATTAAAAGCAAAAGAACACTGTTTAAAAACCTCAATAACAATTTGCAGTTCAACCCATTGTGGATTACCAGGAGCAAATTGATGCTGAACAGGGGGAGAATCATTAATTACATAAGCTCCCATTCCAGACTTGGAACCATCAGTGAAAATATTAACAGCCCCCGGAATTGGATTGGGTGAAGTTACCTTAGGGAAAATGATGGGATGTTCTTTAACAAAATGGAGTAATGGATGGGAAGGGTAATGATTATCAATATCCCCTTGAAACGAGCAACATAGAATAGCCCAGTTGTCTAGAGTAGCACACAAAACATTAAGTTGAGCCTTAGTATAGGGTATAATAAGAGAAGAAGGTGATTGTCCGAAAAATTGAATGCTTTGGTGGATCCCTTTAAGTGCTAATGCTGCAACAGCATCAGGATAGTATTCTAAAGATTTTCCTGGGGATATATGTGGGTGGATCCATAGTAAAGGCCCATCTTGCCACAGTACTCCAGTAGGCTGCCGCATAGTGGCAAGCACACATAACTGGAAAGGTTTATCACTTTGGAGCCTGCATAGAGTAGCATGTTGTATAGCTTCTTCTACTGTTATAAGGGCTGCCCTAGCCTCTTTGGTGAGGCTACGAGGAGAAGCAAGATCTGGATCACCCTTAAGGGTAGCATACAAAGGCTGGAGCACACCATTAGGAATATGTAAATATCCCCTTATCCAATTAATATCTCCCAGCAGTTTTTGAAAATCATTCAGAGTTTGGAGATCCTGAGTTCTTATGGTGATTTTTTGCGGTTTCAATTTGTCATGCCCAATGATTGCTCCCAAATACTCAATAGAATTCCCGTTTGAACCTTTTCAGGTGCGATATGTAGCCCATATTGAGCTAACAGCTTTACTAAGTCTCTATAGGCCTCATTAACTATCTGCTCTAACTTAGCGGCCAATAACACATCATCCATATAATGAATGATCTTGATGGAGGAATACTTATGTCTGAGAGGTGCGAGTGCCTTCCCCACATACATCTGGCACATCGTGGGACTATTAGCCATTCCCTGCGGCAACACTACCCACTCAAACCTAAGATCTGGCTCCTCGTGGTTACACGAGGGAAGGGTGAAAGCAAAACGTTGTGAGTCTTTAGGATGCAAAGGAATAGAAAAGAAACAGTCTTTAATGTCAATAGCAATAATATGCCAGCCCTGAGGAATAGAGGAGAGCAGAGGCAGCCCTCTTTGAATGGGCCCCATAAGTTGCATTTGAGCATTAACTGCTCGTAAATCATGCAGTAGGCGCCACTTTCCTGATTTTTTCCTAATAACAAATATGGGAGTATTCCATGGAGAAGTAGAAGGTTGGATGTGACCCAAGTCCAGTTGTTCTTTGATTAAATTATGGGCTGCTGCCAATTTAACCGAGGGAAGAGGCCACTGAGGCACCCAAACAGGCTCCTCGGTGAGCCATGTTATGGGTATTTGAGCCCCAGTGGCCCCTAGGAAAAACCCAGACCAAATCTGTTAAGCTTTTGATGACCTTGCACAGGATGCCTATGCCCCTGTAGATGTTTTCCTAGTCCTAGACCTGGCCTATACCCCATATTTTGCATAATCTGTTGAGACACCGGGGAATAGTCATTACTAAGAGTGAACCCCATGTCTTTCATCAGATCACGACCCCATAAAGAGATAGGTAAATCAAGTACATAAGGCTGAAAAGTGCCATTGTGTCCTTCTGGGTCCTTCCAAGATAGATGTCTACAGCTGATTTGAGGGGCTTGGGCATATCCCAAACCTCTCAGTGATTGATCTGAGAGCTGCACCGGCCACCCCTTTGACCAGTCCTTTTGTGCAATTATACTACGATCTGCTCCAGTATCGAGCAATCCCAAAATTGATTTGCCTTCTATGGTTAAGTTTAAAGTAGGACGGTCATTCATATCTAAGGACAAATAAACAGAATTCCCTCCAGTAACTCCAATCTCATCACTTGTCCTTGAAAAGGAATCAGCAGGAAAGCGGGTATGCAGACTGGGTAGAAGTAGCAATTGGGCAATCCGGTCTCCTGGGGAAATAGATACAATGCCCCTTGGAGCTTCCACCATAACTTTTATTGTCCCTACAGTATCAGGGCTAATGACTCCAGGAAAGACATGAAGACCTTGTAAAGTAGAGGATGCACGTCCAATTAGCAAACCTACAGTGCCAGGCGGTAAAGGCCCTTTGAACTCAGTTTCCACCAATTGGACTCCCATCTTAGGTGTTAATACGAGTCTGGAGGTGGAACAGAGGTCCAATCCCGCGGCACCTGTAGTGGCTCTCCGCGTCTCATGGGATGGCGTAGAGATGGCCATGTCTCGGGTTTGGGTGTGACATTCTCCATTGCCCCATATATTTGTGGGCCCTGGGGTCGGGGGCCCCTTCGGCCGTTTTTTGGCCCAGCTGAAATAGGCTGTCCATGGATGTCCCTCACTGATCTACACTCTTTTGCCCAATGCTTCCCTTTTTTACATTTTGGACACAGCCCTGGTTGACGAAAGCCATTGGAAGGGCCGCCGTGAGGGGGTCCAGTAAAATTATCTTTTTTAGGACATTCACGTCTGAAATGACCGGGCTGACCACAATGGAAGCATGTTCCGGCACCAGGATTGCCCCCTTTTGCCACCCGAAGGACAGCAGCTGCAAGACCTGCATTAGTTAAAGGTCCTCCAATCTCTCTACACACTTTCATCCATGCTTCTATGCCCTTATTTTTATAAGGAGTGATTGCCGCTTTACATTCCTTGGTGCATTGCTCAAAGACCAATTGCTTGATAAGGGGCATGGCTCTATCAGGATCCCCAAAAATCTTTCCAGCGGCATCCACCATCCTTGCTACAAAATCTGAAAAAGGTTCTGTAGGGCCTTGTAGAATCTTGGTCAAATTGCCAGACACCTCTCCTCTATTTGGAAGCGACTTCCATGCCCGAATGCAAATGTTGTTAATTTGATCATATGCCTCAAGAGGAAATCCTGTCTGTTGATTTGCAAATCTACCCTGTCCCAAGAGCATATCCTTGTCCCAATGGGGGTGTCCCGCTGCATGGTTTTGGGCGGCCTGCTCTATTGCGCCCTCTAGCACGAATGCTCTCCAGTCCAAATATTTACCCGGGGAAACGCAAGCCCGAACAAGGCTAGCCCAATCAGAGGGAGTCATACAGTATCTAGACAGATTTTCCACCTGAGTCAGCGTGAAGGCGGCATCCACCCCATAAGTGCATACAGACTCCGCCAGGGTCTTCACAATTTTAAAATCTAAGGGTTCATGGACTCTTCCCCTGTTGTCATCCTGAAAAACTGGATAAGCAAGACCCATCTCAGCGTGAACAGCCCTCCATGTTTGGGCATGGAAAGCTCTTCCCGAAACGCCCCCGCCATCCGGCGGTGGATCCGGGGGATCGCTTTTCTTGAGCCCTTGTTTATCTGTGTTCCCTTCTCCTATAGCTAAACTCCCTAGCTGACGAGACAGCCTCCCGAGCTCTTCCTCCTCATCCTCCTCCTCCTCTGACCCACATTCGCATGGGGGTGTACGCAGCGTACTGAGATCTGGATACAACCGTTTCCTCCCCCGTCTCATGCTCCGCACACTCCCATCCTCCCGAGTCACTTCACTTTCTGCCGTCTCCGATTTTTCCTCATGCAATCGCTCTAAAACCTCCTGTCCTTTAGTAAGTGCTTCCTGACATCTGTCATCTGTAAGGCAACTACGGACCATTTTCCAAAGGGGTATCACCCCACCCTCTAATATGCCCTGCTCAGAAGCAAAGTCAAGATCTTTGCCTAATTTATCCCAACTAGGCACAGTAAGGCTGCCCGAAAATGCAAACCACGGTGCAGCGATATCTATCTTCTGTAAAAATCTCTGTAAAGTACTATGTTTCACTTCCAGTCCCTTGGAACGTAACAGGCCATCTAGGGCCAGGAGAAGCAGACTTGAAGATGCGGCACCCATGACACAACAACAAAGAAAGCACAAAAGAAAGAAAGCGAAAGTAGGAGCGAAAGTACACAGTGCAGCTGCAATAAAATGTAAGGCTCTCTCTTTCATTACAGAGGAGCTGTCCGGCTTTGGTCGCGGATCCCACTTACTAGGGACTAACCCCGCTTTGATCGCGGATCCCACTTACCTGGGACTAACCCCGCTTTGATCGCGGATCCCACTTACCTGGGACTAACCGGTGCACCACCCCTGACTGTTGAAAGTTCTGGTTCCCGGGTTTCGGCACCACTTGTCGCGACCCCTTGCCCACAAGGAAGACGCAACTCGAGAATCTTCTTTCAACAGTTTATTCAGGCCCTGGATATTTCTTCTTCCCTCTCTCTGATGCCCCTCCCAGCCTTAATAAAGCATCCCAAGCCCCAATGCAAAGCTGCCGCATGGAGCTTTCTCACAGGGTGATGAAAAATCATGTGCCAACTTTCCCAGATAAGAAGTTGTTTGTCACAGACCACAGTGGAGCCAGCGTCATCTTGTAATGGCGACCATAATCTGCAGAAACGGCAGAAGCAGCTCACCACAATAAACAGCTGGGATTACAGGCATTACATACAACTGTTTTATTTGTTTTTAACAGCAACTATAAAAATGAATATGGAGCCTGTTACGGTTTGGATATGAGGTGCCCCCCAAAAGCTCACGTGTGAGACAATGCAAGAAGGTTCAGAGGAGAAAATTATTGGATTGTGAGAGTCTTAACCCAATCAGTGAATTAATCCCCAATGGGATTAACTAAGAGGTATCTGGAGGCAGGTAAGGTGTGGCTGGAGGAAGTGATTAACTAGGGGTGTGGCTATGGGATATATTTTGTATCTAGAGACTGGAGTCTCTCTCTTTGCTTCATGATCACCATGATATGAGCTGCTTCCCTCTACCACACACTCCACCATGATGTTCAGCCTTATCTCGAGCCCTGAGAAATGGAGCCAGCCTTCTATAGACTAAGACCCCTGAAACCATGAGCCATCAATTAAAATTTTCCTCCACTATACTTGCTCTGGTCAGATCCTTTAGTCACAGCAGCAAAAAAGCTGACTAAACAGAGCCTAAAATTCTAAAATACATACAATTTTATCTGCCAATTAAACATTAATTAAGCCAAAGATGGGGAAAGAAAATAGAGGAACTATACCATATATCAGTAAATAAATCTTAACAGTCAGAAAGAAATTTGCAGAGAGACCTGTGTGCCTTCCATGTGTTCACAAAAGGGGTCTCTGGGATAGTTTCTGGCACTTTCAAAATTCTCAGTAAATGCTTTGTGAATGAGGGAATAAATTAATCAATGAGTAAATATGTGGAAAATATTCTCATAAGTGAAATAGTTGACCACATACCTAAAATTCTATATATGTAAAGATAATAAGTTCTTTACATATATCTCTTATATATAAAGAACTTATTATCTATATCTGTAATAATAGATGCCCATTCTATCACAAGTACATTGAGAATATTTTGATTCATAAGAAGATCTTCATCATCTCACAAACTGACCTAGAATCATGCTGACAAACCACATCATTCAAGTCCCATCCTGTATTTTGATAGAAAGTTAGCTCTTGGCTCTGACTGGGCCTACCTAGATGCCAGAATCTGAAAGAGAGAAAAAAGATGAAAGAACTTTTTTTTTTCCAACAGTATTTTTAAAAGGGTTAGAGACAGTAAAAGGGCCAGAGGCCAGGGTAGAATTTTGTGAAAATCAGAGACAGATACCCCAAACAATCCTTCTCCACTTCTCATGCAGTTTCTCTCCCACCATCCCCTCTAGTATTCCCCTTGAAAACTGTGCCTACATCACTAAGTATTCTTATACCTTAATGCATTAAACATCCTCCCAGCGAGTGCAATGGTGCACACCTGTAATCCCAGCAGCCCAGGAGGCTGAGACAGTAGGATCATGAGTTCAAAACCAGCCTCAGCAAAAGCGAGGCTCTAATCAACTCAGTGAGACCCTGTCTCTAAATAAAATACAAAAAAATAGGGCTATGGATGTGGCTTAGTGGTTGAGTACCCCTGAGTTCAATCCCTGGTACCCCCAAAAAAATCCTCCCAAAAAATATCCCAGTTTCTCCTCAGTTTGTGCATCCATAGGTCCTGTTGCCAGGAGACTGTCAATCCATAGGGCTTTCTTATATAATGAAGAGATGTCACCATGATCCCATGTAAATAGTATTTTTTTTCTTCTTCTTAATGGAATGATTTTGGAGTCTGAAGAACTAGTTAAAATCTATAGATCCTCTACTTATTCTTGTCTTCTTGGACAAATAATTTAATTTCCTCAATTCTCAGTTTGCCCATCTAATAATTGGGGACTACAATAAGAGTACTATATGTTTCACAAAATAGATATGAAGATCAAAGGTGGAAATATGCTGAAGAACTTAAGAGTTTTTTTAAGATTATATAAATATGAAATATTATAAAAGTATAAGAATTTAGGTGTCTTGCTTTTTATGAGAAACATTAAAGCTTCATCAATTATGATCTTAACAAGAATTTTATTATAGAGCTACAAATAGTTAAAATCAATGCAGAACATACCTGGATTTGAGGACCATTGTTGGGTGACCTTAGCTGAACTATCTATACTCTGCAAACACAATTTGCCTCATCTCTATAGTGGAAAAAATAATAACCTATGTGTCTCATAAGTTTCTTGTAATGATTAAATGACAATAGAATTTCTTAACCCTGTGCTCTACAGTCAGTACAAGAGAGTGAGCTGTTTTAGTTTTAGTTTCATAACTGATGTTGGACAACCTACATACCCTGCCGGATCCAGGACCCTGCCTTTAACTAATTCAATACTCACATGGCACTTGGATTGTAAGGTGTTCCGTGGACCCATTGCCAATGTCTCTGACACTCTGGATCTGACAGACCCACATCATAAACCGCATCTATTTGCAGATTTGCAATAATAAAATCCTCAGGGGAAAAAAAGACAAAGGAAAAGTACTCAGCAAAACTAAGTTCCTTTTGTTGTTGTTGTTGTTTGTAAGTTTGGATTTTTTTAATGCATTTTAATTATACAAATTTATGGGGTACACTTTTAGTGGTGGGGTGACGGGACGGCCCCGCGTCCTGATGGCTCTGGGTAGGTCCAAGGCCTGGCCTCCCACACAGGTGCAATGGAGCACCTTGCCAGCGGCGGGGCTGACGCAGTGGCAGTGCCGGCGCCAGGAAGTTTGCCTACCAGAAGCTAAGCGCCTTCAATGAGATGCTGCGGCCTTAAGAAGAAGTGACTGAACCTGCTTGTGATGTGATCTTGGCCAGGACAACCAATCAGCTTCTGCAGCCCGGTTAAGATCCAAAGAGTCCAAGAAGGATATAGTACAGCCTCACCCTGTGGCGGCTGCCCACCTCCATCCTTGTCCAGGGACTTGCTGGGACACCTTCCTCTGCTGAGGGCTCAGAGAAGTTACTTTTTTACATAGGCTGAGGTCAAGTGTTAACACCAAGAACATTAGGATTTATGGCTGAAGTTTCAGAATGTCAACTGGAATAATAACTGAAGTTTTAAGCAAAAGGTGTTCGAGTGCATTAAAAGATTTGCTTCATGTGTTTAAAAAATACATATAAGAAATTTATGGGGTACAGGGTGATAAGTTGATCCATTGTATAGTGTGTAATAATTAAATCAGAGTCGTTAACGTTTCCATCTCCTTTAACATTTTTTAAGTTTTTTTAACATGTAGAAATTATACCCTATTTATACGTACAGTATGATATTTCAACTGAGTTCTTCAAGGTCAAACAGAAATGAGAAGAAAAAGAAAAAGCATCCAGGAATAGCCACATGGGGATTCCCCAGAAAGGCAGGTCTTCTCTAGCTGAGCAAAGCAAGGTCAAAGACATCACTTATGATCCTGATTTTCATTACATATGAAAGCAATTCCTACCCATGATCATAATGAATTCTCATCTCAGACTCAATTCCCCTCTTTTTTTCACTAAGAGAGGGCATTGTTCAAAGTTGTCCACAAGAATTTTTTTCAAATCTAATCATTTTCCTTTCATAATTTCAAAGATTCTTTTTTTAAATATTTTTAAAATTGCCAATGGATCTTTACTTTATTTATTTATATGTGGTGCTGAGAATCAAACCCAGTGCCTCACACATGCTAGGCAAGCACTCTACCACTGAGCCACAACCACATCGCTCAAAGAGTCTTTTTTTTTAAATATATTTTTTAGTTGTAAATGGATCTCTTTTATTTTATTTATTTATTTACATGAGGTGCTGAGGATCGAATCCAGGGCCACACACATGCCAGGCAAGTATTTTACCGCTGAGACACAATTCCAACACCCCTCAAAGATTCTTTATATTCATTTCTGATTGTTTATTGTGACTCTTCATAAATTAACTTTATTTTCCCATTCAAATTAATACTCCTCTCTCTAAGAAGTTAACAATTCATAAAACATTTACATATTAAAATAATAAGCTGGTATTTCAGGTAGAAATATATTCATCTTTCCACTAAACCCCTCGTTGCATATTTTTAATGCCACAATTTCTTTGGGGGTAATTTAGTTACACTGAAGTAGGAATAAGGTGTGGAATGAATGGAAAGGCTGAGCAAGCCTTTCCTACCTATTTTCTTGAAAGCCTTCTCCCATAGCACCAACACCCAGAACAATAAAATCTACCGCCTTTTAGGAAAAGAGTATAAATAATCAGACAGGCTCATGACTCCATTATCTCCTAGAAAGTACCTGCTCTTCCTTGCTGTTGATCACTAGCAAATGAGCCTTCATTCTAGAGCAGTTCTCCTCACTCTTATTCCAAGATTTTGCATCAGTAGAAATAAAGTAGCAACTGGAACTAAATGACTTCCAATTCTTTGGGCAACAGCTCCAGACTTTTCCTTTATTGGGAAGAGAGGGATATAGGTGCAATATAAGGAAATATCTTTTAAAATAGTGTATAATGTTAAAATTAAGGGCCAATGGAGACCACAAGAACACTGTAATCCTATCTCCATCCAGATGTAGCAAGGAGTCTTGTCCTATCAGGTGTCAATGAGCCCAGTCTGCATCAACCTGGATGTCAGTGTCCCATTCTTCTGCTGAAATGCTATCAGGAAAAGTCAGCTAAAATATAATGTTTAAATAAGACCCAGACTCCAAAACCTCAATACAAAAATGTCCAAGTCTCAACAGAAAATAATCAATTATACCAAGGACCAGGAGTTCTCAAAAAAAAAAAAAAAAAAAAAACACACACACACAGATATCAACAGATGCCAAAAATCAAGATAACAAAAAGTTAGAATTATCTGACAAAGATTTCAAAGCTGTCATAATGCATATATTTCAAGAAGAATGAATAAAATAAATGTCCATCAATAACTAAAAAAAGAAAGAAAGAAAGATTGACAATGAGAGTTTTTTTAAAAAGAATGTAGAAACATTCTTGAAATGAAAGGAAAAATAGACTCAGCAAAGAAACTGAAGTTGTAAAGAACAAAATGGAAATATTATCATTGAAAAATCCAAAAACCTCTTTAAAAGATTATGGATGAACTGGGCAAGGTGGTGCGTGCCTGTAATCCCAGCGGCTTGGGAGGCTAAGGCAGGAGGATCGCAAGTTCAAAGCCAGCCTCAGCAAAAGCGGTGCGCTAAGCAACTCAGTGAGACCCTGTTTCTAAATAAAATACAAAAAATAGGGCTAGGAATGTGGCTAGTGGTCAAGTGCCCCTGAGTTCAATCCTTGGTACCCGCCCCCAAGAAAATTAAAAAGCTTATAGGTGAGATCAACATCAAAATGGAGAAGGGGACAGAGAAATCAGTGAATTGTCAGAAAAAAATAATAGAAATTTCCAACAGAAAAACAGATGAAATAAATATAAAAAATATAATAAAACCCTATATCATGATCCTAAATGTGTAATACCAAACAATAGAGGTCCAAAATATATAAAGTAAAAACTTATACAAATACAGAGTGAAAACAAAAGAGAGATTTACATTATCATAGGTGGACACAACTATACATGTCAAATATCAACAAGAATATTGAAGAACTCAAAAACCTCCTCAACCAAGAGATTCTAATGAACATGTTTAGAACAGTTCACTCAACAACTGAATACCCATTCTTTACAAGTGTCCATGGAACATATACCAAGATAGACCACATACTGAGATGTAAAACAAACCCTCAACAAATTTACCATCATTAAAATCACATAGTGCCCTCTAACCATTATGGAAACATACTAAAAATCAAAAACAAAATAGGAAAATCACCAAACACTAGACATTAAGTAAATGAAGTGCCTCCCAATGCCTAAGCTAGAAAAACAAAATAAATAAAAAAGTATTGAATTATGGCCCAAAATATAAAATAAATATCCATGGGTACATGTAGATATAAATTACTGAATAAATTAGTAAATAAGATAGAAGAGGTAAATCTCATATGCATAAGCCTTTCAATTAAATTATGTAGATATTTGGGGTGGTTCATTTTACATACTATTTTGATCAAGCACTCTGGGTATTGCTTCAAAGATGTTTCTGGATGAGATTTACATTTTAATCGGTGGACTTTGAGTAAAGAAGATTGCCCCCTTAATATGGATGGGCCTTGTTTTATCAGTTGAAGATTTAAACAAAAGAATGCCCTCCCCAGAGCAAAAGAGAATTCTCCAGCACACTGCCTTTAGACTTCATCTGCAACACTCACTTTTCCTGATCCTGCAGCAGACTGTCATTGGCCTCAAACTGCCACTCTTTCCTGATCTCCAGCCAACTGGTTTTCCCAACCACATTTTGGACTTTTCAAGCCTCCATGATTGCATGAGCTAATTTCTTGAAAGGAAATATCCATATTTTCTATGTATTCTACTGGTTATGTTTCTCTGGAGAACCTGGACTAATGAACACTCTAATGGACAGGGAGCGTAACTCCTCAATCCTGAAATGTGGACAGCACTTAGCAGCTTTCCTTGGAAGAAAACAGTGTGGAATAGGGAGAGAAAAAGAGCAAGAAAAAGAGCAACTTTACAGTGGAGAAACCTGAGAAACACTACTTTACCTAGGTGATCAAGGTCAACAAATCAGCAGCCAAAAAGTACTTTGATAATATATATCCTTGATATGATGTAATGAAAATAGCAGTTTACATCTATGGCCTTCCTCCCAAAAACTAATAACCCTAGTCTAATCATTAGAAAAACATTAAAATTTTTGTTTTTTGGACCAGGGATTGAATCCAGGGGTGCTTTATCTCTGGGCCACATCCCCAGCACTTTTTTATACTTTCTTTAGAGACAGGGTCTAACTAAGTTGCCTAGGCCTTTGCTAAGATGCTAAAGCTGGCTTTGAATTCTCATTCCTCTTGCCTCAGCCTCTCAAGCTGCTGGGATTACAGACATGCACCATCACACCCAGCAAAACATCAAATTTTAATGGAGGGACAGCCTAGACTAGTATTCCTAAAAATTATCAGTCATCAAAAAAAGTTTGAAAATTATCACAGCCAAGAGGAAAATAGATATGAAAACTAAATATAACATGATGTTCTGAGTGAGATTCTAGTACAGAAAAAGAACATTAGGTGAAAACTAAGTAAACCTTAATATATAATGAACTTTAGTGATAATATATCAATATTGGCTCATTAATTATAACGAATGCCCTCACTCATATAAGGTGGTAATAATAGGGAATATTGTATATACAAGGTAGGGTTCAAATAGGACCTATTCATATTGTCTGCTCAATTTTTCTGTAAATGTAAAAATGTTCATTGAAAAATGAACATAAAATGTGAGTGAAATACTCAAAAAATAAAATGTCATTAAAAATACATTTTATTTGCATATTTTAATGTTTCAAATAAATGAGTTCTTTAATAAAAATACTCATAAAAATGTGAGAAAAAAAGTAAGTGTGCACAGAAACTTCAGAAAGATACGAAAGCTAAAGAGTAAAGGCAATATGTCCTTTTTCACAGTCAAACCTCCAATGAGCAACTTAAAACATACATATAAGAATTTTAGGTCCTATAACATTCTATACATGTAGTTTAGAATGATCATGAAACTCCACTTTTTAATATTATAAACCTGGAAATCTTATTGTAAATATTAATTTAGGATCCTTACTAAATTCTACTCATTAAATTTTACCTTTCATGATTGAATAGTGTCTTGAACACTTTAATTCTGGGTGGATTGGTTCTTTTGTAGAATTTGGATACTTCTTTTCTTCAAGAATCTGAGAATATTTTTGAAATAAAACTGGAAAAGAGAATTTAAAGACATGCATTTTTCCAGGTAGTATTATGACTTTGTTCTTTACTATTATTTTCTTGCATTCTTTATAGAAACAAAACCTACTAATGGCTGATTACCTGAGTAGATGTAGCCCGACTGGAAAACATCTCCCATCATCCCACAGACAATGTAATCCTAACCCTATTGATTTTGAAACTATAAACTCACACACACACACACACACACACTACACATATATAATGTATAAAGTATATTTATATAGAGATTAAAAGAGGACGTGAAAGTTCCATCATAATGGTCTAAAGGAACTTATCCATGTTATCCATAAACACATACAAAAATTCATATAAAGATTAAATCTCAGTGAAAGGGAATAAAAGTTAGAAAACACTTGCATTAATTGTGTACACAGCCTGGGACTTTGTGGGAGGGAGGAATTAGCTAATTCTGAGGAGTTCTGAGATATCTTAGAGAATAGAAATTTTTAAAAGAACCCAGCATTGATCAAGAGGGCATGCTTTTTCTCCTATTCTTTCTTTTCCTTTCTCTTCATCCCAACTGCCTCTTATTCCTCAGGGTACCAACACGCTCATGTCACTCCCTATTGAAAACTAACTCTCCTCTCTCCCTCCACCCCGCTCTCTCTATTAGATTTGCTCTCTTTCTTCCTAACCTTCTATTTATTTCTTGACTCACCTCATTCTGGCTTTGATTTCTACCATTTCACTTAAGCCACCCTTCAAAGAGATAACCTAAGACCACTTACTAGTCATCTTCCTAATGAACTTCTTGCAATATTTGACTCCAGTTCTCTGCCCCCTTAACTCTTCAGACACTACTTTCTATTTTCACCTAACCTTTCTTGCTATTGCTTCTTGTTCTTTTTTATGAGCTCTTGCCCCTCCATCCATCTCTTCTAAACTATTAACATTCCCCAGAATTCCACCCTTATCATTTCTTCTCATACTAAGTCCTCTTCCTGAGTAATATCACATATTCCCTGGTCTCACCTGTTGCAATTATGTGAATAACTTCCAGAACTCAGACCTAACTCCTAAAACCCAGACAAATGTTCCTCCCACTAAACACGGGCACATCCAATGTACCCAAAAGTTAAATCATCATCTTCCAACTAAACCTGCTACTCATGCTATCTTGTCTATCTTTTTGAATGGCTTCATCATTGCTGAGTTTACCAGGTCAGAATATTAGAGTCACACTTAATTTCTCTGGGTCTGTTAATCACCAGATCTAAATATTCATCAAGCCTCTTTCATTATATCTTCTTTGTCATTCAGAGCTACCTTCTCTTCTCTTTCTTCAGTAATAGTATCCTTGAATCAGGTTCTCAATGTGCCTCAACAGGATTATCCATTAGCCTTCTAACCTTTCTTTAACACCAACATTGTGCTTATGAGCACATTGTCACAGCTTTGTAAAAACAAACTTTCTATAAGTCAAATTTGATCATATCAATTCCTTGCTCAAAATTCGTCAATGGCTCACCATGACTGTTAACACATTGTTAAAATGGCCTCAATGTTTAACCCTCCCTGTATGAATTCACACGCCTTTGCAATGTGACTTTGCAGCTTTTCCAATCAAGAAGTGAGGTCTAGAAGATGGCCGCTGCGTACGGGGGTTGCTGAAGTGCTGAGCGTGGTGCTCAAAGCAGCGGCTTTAATAGAGATTTCGCACAGTCTGTTAAAGCTCCTTTCACCGTTAATCTGTAGTGGACCACTTTGCCAAGGAGCAGGAAGAACAAAGAAATCAAAAAAGAGATGCTTGGCTGCTCAGAGCCGCGGGCGCTTTGCTCCCATCTGCTTCCTCTTTCGCTTCGCTCCGGGCGGAGAAGCTGAATGTGTAATCAGCAGTGGATTGTAAGTACCCGAGGCAAAGAAAGCTCAGTGCGCCCAGCCTTTTTTTTTTTTCTTTTTTTTTTGAATATTTTTTATACAGGGAGAGTTTGTGGATTGGGATTGCTGGAGGGGCTGTGGTTTCTGTGCCGAAAATCCACTCCGCGGGAGCCACCATTTGCTTTCTGCTTGCTGTCTTGATGGCTCTGTATACACTGTCCGGCAGCCACACCTAGAGGTTGGAGCTGGGCTGCGTGCCGAGCCCTGTCCTCCGAAGGCTGGACTGCAGCCTCGAGCGTCTCTGTGGCCTGTTCGCCGCTGCACCTTCGGGCAGAGCCTGCTCTGGGGTCGTTCTGCACCCCCCTGCCAGGGGACCCGTGCTCTGGAGGAGGGGGACGGAGAGCCGCGGCGGCAGCCGCTTGGGCCCCTGGGGCCTGGCACCGGGCTGAAGAGCTGCGGAGGCCAGGGCGGCTCTGCTACGGTCGCAGACAAGCGCGGACGCTCGTCAGCGCGGCCCAGAGTTTCATTTCTAGAAATCTGGACTGGAAACAGAAGCAGCAGTTTGTATAATCCCAAGAACTTGCTTATACCAGGAAGCTGTAAGGGCAACATGAATATTACTGAGGAAATGTAACATGGTGGCAGGCGCAGAGAGATCAAGTCTCTGACATCTTCAACTGCGCGAGCATAGGGAGCCGTAAACTGTCTAAATGCTGTTTGCTCAGGATCACTAGGCAATGCTGAGCTGACGTGGATCTGGGGTGTACAGGCTGGGCCCCTCAGAACACACACACAGAGCCCGAATCGGAGGCAATTAAGCTCCGGTTCGCCTGCTTCGTGTGACTCAGCACTAACGATCCCGCTGAAATAATTGGCCGGCCCTTAGGAACTTACAGAGGTAAAAGCCAACCGAGCCTTCATAGGCAGTGGCCACAGGACTGAAACGGGGATTGGGAGAGACAGTCAGGACCCACCCGTTGCATTGGTCATCCGGCAAAGGGAACAAACGGTCACCATTTGCATGGGATATCACCATGGCAGAGAAATGGCATCACGGGCGGAGGAGATAACTGCATTGAAACCAGCGCGACAGGTGTGTAATCCCCTAGCCATCTCTCTCCACACAGCGGGGAAACCTTAAGGGCCACTCCCAGCTCTCCTGTGAACGCAATAACCAGACCGAGGGAATCAGGAGTGGCGCGGGACTCGCGGCGCGGAACTCCCGGCTACCGCTCCCACCAGTGCTGACAACTGAGGTCTCTTGCACCAGCTACCGGGGGCGTGGCTACAGGAGGGCAAGCAAATTCGCTGGGGGATCTCAGCCCCAAGCTCTACAAACTTAGGGTCTGAGGGAGGCAAACAGGGAGAGTGAGCCCAGGTGTTCATGAAAACAGGGCTCCCAGGAGCAGCAGACCTGGCGTGTAGCCAGTATTGTGGTGAGCGCCACAGGTGAGCACGGCCTGGCTTGAGGAAACACAAGACAAGGCCCTAGACACTCAGGATTGGAGACCCGCCCAGTCTAGGAGAAAGAGCTGCTGCACAGTGAATGGTTCCCACCTATTGAGAGGAGAAGCTTGGCCCAGTGGGCACAGCTCCACCTACTGGAAGAGAAGTTAATAGAACTCTAGGACTGCATTTATTATTATTATTATTATCATTTTTTTTCTTTTCTTTTTCTTTTTTTTTCTTTTTTTTCTTCTTTTTCTTTCATTTTCAATTTTTATTTGTTGTTCTTTAATTTTTTTTCAATGTTTCTATTTTTTTAATTTTTTTATTTTATTATTATTATTTTTTTATTTTAATTTTCATTTTTTATTATCACTATTATTTTTGTTAAAATTTTTTTTTCATCTTTTCTTTCTTTCTTTATTATCTAATCTTTGTTATTCTTGTTTCTTTTGTCTTTTCATTTCTTTTCAATCTTATTCCCCCTTCCTTGAATTCTACCTGCCTACTCTCATTCTCTTTAGTGACTTCTTCCCTTCCCTTCTAATATCTTTCCTCTCAAGCATCAAATAAATCTATAAGAGTAAACAGTAACTCAGCAGTCAAACAGAACAAGAAGTAACATGAGCAGCATAAAAAAGCAAGGAAGAAAAGGAGTACAAACAATGAAGGACAGCCTAAATATTCAGGAGGACCTAGAGTCATCAGAAAAATGGTCATATAAAGAACTCAAGGAATACCTTAGACAGATGGAATGGAACCTTAAAGAAGATACGAGACAGCAAATCCAAACAGTGAAAGAACACTTTGAAAATGAATTACATAGACAGATAAAAGAAGAAGTTAAGCATCTTTATCAGGAGATTGAGATTATAAAAAAAAAACAAACAATAATTCTAGAAATGAAGGAAACGATAAACCAAATTAAAAACTCAATTGAGAGTATCACTAACAGAGTGGAGCAAGTAGAAGCCAGAACATCAGATAATGAAGACAAAATATATCATCTTGAAAAGAGCCTAGCCAACTCAGAAAGGCTGGTTAAAAACCACGAGAAAAACATTCAAGAGATATGGGATAACATAAAGAAACCAAACCTAAGAGTCATCGGGATAGAAGAAGGTACAGAGATTCAAACCAAGGGAATGAGTAACCTGCTGAAAGGAATAATTACAGAAAACTTTCCAGAAATAAAAAAGGAAACGGATATACAAATTGTAGATGCATACAGGACACCGAGCACACAAAATCACAGTAGACCAACGCCAAGACACATTGTTATGAAGATATCCAATATACAGAACAAAGAGAAAATACTAAAAGCTACAAGAGAAAGGAGGCAGATTACATTCAGGGGTAAACCAATAAGGTTAACAATGGATTTTTCATCACAGACACTGAAAGCGAGAAGATCCTGGAACAACGTATTTCAAACACTGAAAGACAATGGATGCCAACCAAGAATTCTGTATCCAGCAAAATTAAGCTTCAGGTATGATAACGAAATAAAAATCTTTCATGATAAACAAAAGCTAAAAGAATTTGCAGCCAGAAAACCAGCATTGCAAAGCATCTTGAGCAAAACACTACACGAGGAAGAAATGAAAAACAATAACCAAAACCATCAGTGGGAAGTGCCTCTATAAAGACAGAGGGTGGGGGGAAAGCTAACCATGGAGAAACAAACTAAATTAAAAAAAA